TCGACCATGGAGGCAGTTACGTATTACCTATAAAAATGAACACCTGGTTAATAAGCAGGTGGTAAGTAAGAGAGGGGTAGCTCGGTATGTATATACATGAATAAAATTATATGGATGTAAGAACTAGATGTGTACTAATTCGCGAAATATTAAATGATAACATAAACACAAACATAAGTTTCACTAAAAATACCAAATTAAAAATTTTATTACGAAATGCTAACAATCTTATCACTCATCAGCATAGAACAAATTGTGGCAAAAATAATATTCAACACGATGGAGTTTTACTTTATAATAAATTACCGGAAACTGTGAAAACCGTTTAGTTACTGGTGTCGTACAAAAGAACGCTTGCTTTTATTGTTTATTTAAGAAGTGCGATTTAATTGCACTTCTTAAATAAAATACATATTGAAAAAAAAAATTCATAATAAAATATGCATATATGTATGTCTGTATACATGTGTATTTATGTGTTATGGGTGAAGTGTGTATTTATGTTTTTTTTATTGACCAAAATACAGGAAAAATACTTATTTACTAATTACAAGCTTCGCTTTCAAAAGCCGTTCCGGCTTTATTCGCGGCGAAGGAGTTCTGTCTATTTAAGTAAAGATATAATATGATAGAGCAAAAATGTTAAAAAACTAACTTAATTACTTCTAGACAGGTACAAAATATTGCTCACTTACGTATGCATATAAATGGCATATAATAACAATTAAGCAATTTGCAAAATAAAGTTGTACGTATTTATAGTAACAAATTATAGTAAACATAAAAAAAAGAAATTGGAAATTATACTTACACATGAACTGAACGTGTCATTGTCGCATCTAGTACGCTCTGCCGCGTTGTATATCTGTGTTCGCTTATATTTTTGTCTACCTAAATATATTTTTATTTTTAAGTTAGTGCGCTTGATTTATTTTGTAAGTTTGAATTAGTTAAGTTTCTCAGTAACAGAATATATAATTCTTATGAGAAATAAATATTCTTTAACCACAGGTATGTACACCAGTACAGACTGGACGTTGCAAATAAATCCGGCATTACGACATTTTTTCTGAATTTCCCGAGAGACACAACCTGGGGACTTTCAAAGTCGGAGTGAACAGTCATCCTTTACGAGGGCATGTATCGTCGTTGTCCACTTTACTCTTAAAGTGAATCATTTTACCAATATAATAAAAACCCATGACCCTGGACAAAAATTACATTCTCTTGCTGTACTTTCCCTTGCTTAAACAACTTTTGACTGAAATTTCTCAGTCAATGTTACTAGAAAAAAAAAAGAAAAAAGTTATTTATTGCAGACAATTTACACTCTATTTTGTTAATACACCTACAAATTAATCTTATTCTATTGTTAGTACTGTAGACTAGGCTGTACTCTATGAGTAGAATTGCTGGCTGAACATAGGTAATGATTATAGTTTGTATTTAGAATGCTTTCGAAGAAATGAAATAAGTAAGAAAATAGAAGATCTAGACAGACAAAAAGATTGCTTTGTAACCCAAAAGTATAAACTATGTGAAAAAACGTGAAATAAACCAAATATCTTGAAGATTATTACAGTTTGAATTTATTAGAAGCACCTCTCGCAATGCACTCAGAGCTATGACCCTCGTGACAGTACAAACATTTATTAGATTATAATCTCAAGACAGAGTACTAAAAAAGCGACCGCAAAAGCTCGTGGAATTACATCTATTCGTCAAGTTTTATTGAAATCGGTTACCGGAAAGTGTGCGAAACCGGATTCATCCCCTAATTTGCCACAATTAGAGGTGGGATACATTTTCTTAAAATTTAAATGGACCCTTTACTGAGGTACAACTCTTTCTAACAAAAAAAGAGTAATCAAAATCGGTTCACAAATCACGAAGTTATTGCGTAAAAAAGTCGAGTTAATAACTTCCTCCTTTCTTGAAGACGGTTAAAAATAAAATAAATTAATGAAATAAATGCCGGGTCAGATACTACACGATACTCGCTAAGATCATTGACCTCCCAGACCGTGAAGTTCGTCAGTTGTCGATTCGTCGTTCGTGTCGTCGAGATTCGATTTGATATCGTACGATTTCTTTTCATATTTATTCACAACACCCGAATCGAACATCAAACTGTCGTATTCGAAACCAAACCGAAATGACGTCACACCCGTAAGATCACTCGAGCTTCTCGACCGGCAAAGGCTACAAACGTTATTCCGAACACAGTTATCGAATGACCGAATAATGAATAGCTTGGACACCGCCTTTCCATTCGAGAACGACATCCATCCGAACGATTCGGTTAAAATATCGAAAAGTTCAAAACTAAGATCCAGATCGGAGTGCAATTGATCGATCTGAAAAAAAACCAAATCGTTCTTAGTAAACTTGACTTACTAACAATGACAAGGTGCTTTAAAATTATTTCCACTGTTTGAACTTTATATTTTCCGTCAAGTCTTCAACAAAGAACAAACCAGGAGGACATAATGAAAACAGCCCCTTTAAAACGTCAACGGCATGCAACAATAGAGTTTAAACGTCTGTTAAGTGTTACATAAAGTCTGCATTGTGAACAAAAGCTGTAAGTCTCGGCGACTGTACTAACGTGTGGGCTTTGTGATGCCTCGAGATTAAACTCTTGCCTGCTTACATAGACGTGTGGAAATCTGTTTTCAAACGCACTATGCAGGAAACTGTTTGAAGCCAAAATGCGCGCAAAACTGTACATTGTGGATATTTCTACAAAACGTTTTCAAAGTGTGTTTAGGACGCCAATAAAATTTTGCTTTACTTTTAATATTTATTAAGAAAATCTATACTGAGTGTATGAAAAAAGAAACAGATTTTATATTGCTACATATAAATATGGAGTTAAGTTTTTTTTATAATACCAATTAAGTGGCGGGACGCTTGTCCGTAGTACTTGCAATACCACTTAGAGCTTGAAATCACGAAGATCTGAGAGGCACTGCCACTGCGCCCGGTGAACTGAGACATAAGTTGAGAAGTCCCATGTGCCTATTATTTTACCAGTAGCCGTACTCTTCAAAACCGAAACGTAGTAATGCTCATAAACTGCTTGGCGGCAGAAATACATAAGGTACTTCCCTGGACGAACTCTTTCACAAGGAGCTCTACAACTACTAAAAAAACTGTCTAGGCGTCTTTACCCACGTATGGGCTTTGTGATGCCTTGAATGGGATAAAACTTTGGCGTCCTTACTCAAAGGTGAGAAAAGCTGTTTTCATACACACAATGCAGAGAATGTTTTGATATCAAAATGCATTCCAAAATGCACAATATTAACGATACCACGAAATGCTTTCAAAATGTTTTTATGAAACCAACTTATACCTAATTATTTATTAAGGTAAATATATACAGGGTGTAAAAACACATTTCTCTTTTTTTTTATTTGCCAAACAACCACACCGATTACCTGGTCTCGAAGTACTATATGTAGCAGAGTTACATAATTCAGAACACCCAGACTAGAATTAATTTAGAAAAGTTAATTTCCCAAATTGGTCCTAACAGGGATCAAACCCGGGACCTCTTAGGCCACCAAGGTCGTCAAATATTACTCAACATATATAATATGAGTTATGAAAATGAAATTTGAATAAAAGGGTTCACTTCATGGCCAATCACTTAGAGACGTGAAGTATAATTTAATTTTGTGCGCCTAGTGATTTTGGGTCACGTCGAATAAGAAGGCTTGGGGAAAAGGTTTTAGAGCGAACATGACAATCACTAATACGGACAAGATTAATAGTGGCCGCCATTATTATTATAATATTGCTCTGGTGAAACCGGTTGGCCTCTGAAACTCGATGTAGTAGAGCATATTTTGTTCCTGTCGGAACTCCCCCGGGAATTTCATCATTTTTGGATTTGCTGAAGACTTCGAGGAGCAACATTGGCACACTAAGATATTTCACCCTGTATTTGGCCACTCGGGAATACTGTAGTAGAATATACGTGGTTATTTCCGTCGCCATTATTACTATTATCCATATCCGCCATATGAATAGTAATATTTTGGGCAACTCCATTTGTTTAAAAAAAGTTTGATTGACCTGTGAGTTGTTTGAACCATAGTTCATCATGCTGGTTCAACACCCATGAGAGATTCCACACGTCTTCGAAGAAAACTAATCCCTTTTAACTGGCTTTAAAAAAAAGGAGGAGGTTCTCAATTTGACTGTATGTTTTTTTTGTATGTCTGTTACACGATAACTCCCGGCATTTGTGAACCGATTTTGATGATTCTTTTTTGTTTGAAAGAGGGTACCTCAGATGTGGTTCTATTTAAATAAAACATTCCACCTCTAAAGGTGGCAAACTAGGGGATTAATGACTTTTGAGGTCGGTTTTTTTAGTACTCTGTACTGTTTTTATTGTAATATAAAATAAAATATATAAAAATAAAATGTAATATTAAATATATAAATATATATGTAATATAAAATAATATATATAAAAATATTGTAATGTAAAATTTCATCCGGATATTTTTCATCATAGGTAAACTAAGCAATGCCATACGATGCATTGCGTCGGCGTGCGACGACGGAATGCGTGTTCATCAGACAAGGGGCCAGGAGACGAAGCGGGGAGGGGTGCTGCGGTGCGTATATGAACGGCGTTATTTTGTGACACCGCATTGCTCTTGTCCGAGAGGGCGCTGTTTGCGCGGTCCCGTTCGGCCGTCTCCTTCTGCGACATCACGTCTTCGCAGAAAGAGACCATCGCCTGGCATGACCTCTCACTTCCCAGCATGGCTATGCAGTAGTATAGTAACTATGCTGGGCAGTGAGAGGTCTCGTCCCACCACTTCTACGAGATCCCGGCGCTGCTGGCTCCAGGTCGGGCACACCTCCAAGGTGTGCCTCGCCGAGTCTGTAGCAGCACCGCACTCGTGACACTCCGGGGCCACCCCCCTCCGTGCGATCTTGTGCAGGTAGTCACCGAAACAGCCGTGTCCGGTGAGTACCTGAACAAGACGGTAGGGACCCGTGCCTCCTCTTCCTCCAATCGGCAAGTACAGGGAGCAGCGCCTGGACGGTACGCTCCTCGTATCTGCCCGATCGGAGCGCCTCCTCCCACCCGCCTAGACGGCGGTATTGCCGGCACGCCGAACCGTCACTAGCTCCTAACTAGTGTGGGGCGCTCTCCACGTGCCCTGGCTTCCGCACGGCACCTGTAGGCCTGCTCGAGGACGGACAACTTAACCTAACCTTTTTTTTTATTTTTTTATTATCGTGAGGAAAATGCGTTACGCATTCCCCGCCGCTGGGAGACGGCGGGGATATGTGGGACTCTCTCCTGGGAACTATGTCGATCCCCAAGAGCATACCCACTAAAAACCTCACGATGTTCCTGCGCGCACCTGGTGCCGGAGCCGCGGGGTCCCTTTCAGATGCTACCGCGACTCCGGTGGTGCTGGTCCGCCTTTGGGCGGACCCCTACACCATCGCCCCCTTAATCATGGGGGGCGACCTACACGGAGATGCCCCGGAACATTTGGGGCATCTACCGGCGGCGGAGGCCTGTGCAATGCAGGGGCAGGGTCTCCCAACCCCGCACCCTGCTGGCCTCCGCTGATGGGACGCAGGCGGTCGGCGAAGAGCCGTCGCGTGCGTCCTCTCCGCCGACGCCGAATAGGGTCCGAGAGGGCGCTGTCTTCGCGGACCCGTTCGGCTGTCTCCTTCTGCGACATCACGTCCTCGCAGAAGGAGACCATCGCCTGCCATGACCTCTCGCTTCCCAGCATGGCTCTAACTATGCTGGGCAGTGAGAGGTCTCGTCCCACCACCTCTACGAGATCCCGGCGCTGCTGGCTCCAGGTCGGGCACACCTCCAAGGTGTGCCTCGCCGAGTCTGTAGCAGCGCCGCACTCGTGACACTCCGGGGTCACCTCCCTCCGTGCGATCTTGTGCAGGTAGTCGCCGAAACAGCCGTGTCCGGTAAGTACCTGAACAAGACGATAGGTGAGGGACCCGTGCCTCCTCTTTCTCCAATCGGCCAGTACAGGGAGCAGCGCCTGGACGGTGCGCTCCCCGTATCTGGCCGATCGGAGTGCCTCCTCCCACCCCGCCTGGACGGCGGTCTTGGCGGCACGCCGAACCCCCACTAGCTCCTCTAGTGTGGGGCGCTCTCCACGTGCCCTGGCTTCCGCACGGCACCTGTAGGTCTGCTCGAGGACGGACGCCTCCAGCTCCCAGGGTGCGGATCCAGCCAGGGCGCATGCCGCCGCTCCGGAAACCGTCCGGTACGCCCGAATCGCCCTCACCGCCATTAGCTTCTGCGGTCTGCGCAGAAGCGGCCGCAGTCTGGTGGTGAGGGCCTCCGCCCAGATGGGCGCCCCGTAGAGGGCCATGCTCCGTATGACGCCAGCATAAAGCCGACGACATAGGGAGCTGGGTCCCCCCACGTTTGGCATAAGGCGCCCAAGCGCCGAACTTAACCTAACCTAACCGAACCTAATCGTGTCTTTGCGATAAACATCCAACAAATCCTAAAAGAACAACGGTTTCGTTATAATTAGGTTTTTGGTGTAATGAAAATTCGAACAAACATTATTTCGGAAAAAAAAATTGGAGTTTGTGATAGGTTACCGAATAATGAGATATGTTGTGATTTTCATTTTTTATCAGTAAGTTTTGTATTGTAGATGCAAAGTATAATGTATTGTAGTTAAAAATGATTATTGTTATTTTATTTATGCTATGATTTTTTTCCGAAATAAATTATTTCGTAATATTCTAATAACGCTTGTAAAGCGTCTGATTAATAAGAAACAATTTGTAACATTTTGCATAAATGCTTATTTCTCACAATACATTCAAATGTCAATGCCAATATTGAGCAGAACAAATTGAAAATGCCGTTCAAATATCGGCTTATTAAAATCAAATCACGAGTAGAATCTGAAACAAATTGGACAATAAGTTGCAAGTCGAATGCAACTGTATTGCAGCTTTGTCCTCGATGCTATTTAGAGTGTGTTGTGCATTAGAAATTGCATCTGACCTTTGAATTGCGAGTCATGGTTCGTATAGGTATTGTGGTGTTGTAATAGGGTTCTGAATATACCCAGTATTTAGATTGCTGTATGTTGCAGAGATATGTTATAATTCATAATCTAGGCATACCTCCTTCCCTTCCTCAATACTTTGTATAGATATAAGTGGTTACTAGAGAAAGGGAAGATGTAATACGAGTGTCAACCGTGACCATGCAACCTGTAAAGGGCCCGAAACGTCGGTTTGTTTGAAAAACGTATGTGTAACAATCGCGAAAACCTAAGAACTCGATAAGTAATAAGAATATCCAAGTATTCGAAATCAGGACATGTTTTATAGCCGATAGAATTGTCTTACCTCAAATGTCAGAAAAAGTTATAAACTTCCTTCTTTCGTAGCCATTGACTTACAATTATTTGGACGTCGGATCCGCGCTAAAAAGTGCCCGAACTTATAGGGCGTTAAAATCGTATACAGAGCGTCATTCACGCTTTAGTCTTCGTTTGTTCGACTGACAGCGAAGCAAGCAAAATTAGATAGTACTGCGATGACATTACAATTTAAATTCAACGTTTTGGCTTTTTCATATTCCTTTACATGTCACTATTTAAATAGGTTGACTTGGGACATTTTTTTCGTGGTTTTTGTATTAGACCCGTCGTCCATTTATTTATAAGTCAATGTTCGTAGCATTAATTTTAGTAGCCTAATAGTTTGACCTTCTGTCTCTCAAGTAGAGGGTCGTGGGTTCGAATCTGGGTTCGCACCTCTGAGTTTCTCGGAATTTATGTGCGAAATTTTATTTTGAAATGTATCATGAGCTTTTCGGTGAAGGTAAACACCGTGATGAAACTTACACGTTGAAGAAGATTCACAACCCTCGGAAAACGTGTGAAGTCCCCAACCCGCATTGGGCCAGCTTGGCCGACTATGGCCTAAACTCTCGTCTGAAAGGAGACCCGTACCCAGCAGTGGGACGTATAAATGGGTTAAGTGAGCTTGTAAAAGAGTTTGCAAATTACCTGTTTCTGCTACTAAGCAATAACATGAGCATTACTGCGATCCAATTTTCAAGGGTAAGTATTCAAATGACATGTGGGACTTGTCAACTTATGTGTCAGGCTGACGGGCGTAGTGGCAGTGATTAAAGTTTTTTTATAACATCAAGTGTCATGCGCCTGATGGTAAGCTATACGCCTGTCCATAACAGTTACAGTGGCACTCAGAGCTTTAAATTGCAAAGATCCGAGGGGCACTACCACTGCGCCGGTCGTCCTGAGACATAAGTTGACAAGTCACATTTGCCTGTAATTTTACAGCACCCTTACGCTTCAAAACCGGAACACAGTAATGTTGACATTCCTGCTTGGCGGCAGAAATAGGTAAGGTGGCAGTACTACCCTGGGCGAACTCTTTCACAAGGACCGCTACCGCTACTACTAGTTCCTACGAATTGTCTAGGGTTGACCCTCAAAGACAAGTTAAAAATGAAATTACTTTCCCTGGAAAGGAGAATTAGTTTGATGACGTCAAGGAATGGGCCAGACTGCTATATTCAATAAAGAAAGCGGCTCAAGACAGCAAGAACTTGTATATTAACCTCCAAGCTTCAATTTGAAAATGTTACTCCTTGCTGATATATTTTATTACTTGCTAGTCTATACCGTGTACTTGCAAAAAATAGCAAATTCTAAATTTTCATTGACTTATGACAAAACTTATTACAAGGTATTGCAGGAAAGTGTGCATCTTACATAACTTGCAGGTAGCAAATAGAGGACCTGACATAGTGCAGATGCTTGTGAAACATAGTTTGATGGAATTCATGATCACGTAGCTGAATTCTAGAATAGTTAGGTGGAACTCCTTTGCACAATGTAGTACAATGACACACCCGAACATTATAGTGTTATTTATCACCTATCACACTGCTGGGTATAGCTCTAATCTGAGCAGAAAGTTTAAACTATAAACAATCGTGAACTTGCCCAATGCCGGTTGGGGACTTGTGTTAAGGTTTTTATTCTTCTTACACGAGTTACATATACATATGAGAAGCCTGTAATTTAAACTTTTTGATTAGAAAATGGTTGCACTCGTTTGTATTAACAATAATTACAGTAGTAATATACAAGGGGTATTCAGGAGTTTCCGGTAAACATCAAAGTAACGAAGTTAACTCCGGGGAGCACAACTTAGAACACAAGAACCGAATTACAAAAAGTTTGTTTGCTTAATTGGTTTTACCACAATCTGAACCCGTGATAGTAAAGAGTTAACCGCTAGTCCACAGAGGTCATATTGATTTTAATATTAATATTCGTAATGTTAATTTTTTGAATGTCACATTGTTTTTGACTACCGTGATATCGAGCCATTACCGCTCTTCTTCGATTTAGTGTAAGCGATAAAAACAAATTTTACAGGACACATTTGAGTTGTGTATTTTTTTTTGTCTTTTAAGTAATGGATTCGTTTTTGGTGCTTACAATATTTTTTATTATCTCTAACTAAAGACTTTCCCGTTTGAGGTAACACTTGCGATTAAAAATATGCAATAGATTTTTGCCATTTTTTTTTGTAACCGACGACATTGTGATGTACTATGTCGGTTGCGATAACAAGTGGGGTCGCTTACGTTATGACTTTTTAATATTAATTTTGTCTGCTACATTGAAATATAAAAACAATTAAGAGAACAATAAACTTTAAACTTTTGCTATAATTATCAAAAAGAAACAACACAGAAAAAAGAAAACAATAAAAATAAAAATAAAAATAAAACAAATGAACAACACTGAGAAAAAATTAAAATAAGAAAAAACATAATTAAAAAACATCCTTACTTAAGAGACAAATAAATAAATGCGGAACAAAATCACAAACAAAACTTATATTCGTGTTGTCAGTTGTAATTCGGTTCTCAAATAAATGATTGCAAGCTTCTAAACTTGTGATATGATAATTTATCAACATTTGCGCGTCTAGTGGAAAAAGGGCACAAAATTTATTTATTACTTTTCGGGTCAGTCAAAAATATTGTTTCGAACATAACGCTTTTACGAAAAGTTGTCGTTCCATGTTCAATTACACTTCTCTAAATTACAACAAATAAAAAAGACTCTAATATGGCAAAAAACAAACAAATCAGTTTTATGTTTATAAATTCCTTCTTGCTCAAGATTTAAGGGACGAACTGCGTTGTAAAGTTTGTTTCTTCGTTTTTGATTGATATTTATGAATTTGTTTTTCCATGACAAAATCCTCTCTTCAACAAGCATTTCACTTAACATTTTCCGAGCAATTTCATTAATATCTTTGTTTTAATAAAAAAATAACTCGATTTACGAGATTTATCTCGTTTATATTATTCCATTAGATATTTGAAGACAAAACTAGAGTTGTTGTTTTCATTGAACGGGAAAAATTGTAATAATAATATTACATGACGATACTACATTTATACCAAAGACCTGCAGTCTTTGGTATAAATGTTAAAAATAGTACAGTGAAAGTGTGTTAGATTTCTGGCCATAAATTAGTCGATATTGTCGTTAGAGTTACACAAATTGGAGAGGACGTGTGTTACTTCGTTACCTATCCAATGAAGTAAAGAAAAAATGACGTAATTCGATTTAATTCCGTTCTTCTTTGACGGATGTGGTTTATTATTCATCTATGAAGATGTAAACTAAAATTAATACAAAATACAGAAATTAAAAGTGAAGTCCAAGGAAAGAATGATCATAGTCACTTTAGGAAAAATTTTAGGAATAAATAATTTTTAATTTGAAAACCTTTTAATATTGGTGAAAAAGATACGCACAAATAAACCTGAAACAAAGTCAATGCTGACATAAACTTATGTGACGCTATGTAATCGATTTTAACTAAAAATATTTATAAACATTTTTTTACCAACGTCTCTACCATTTAGTCACAAGCATTTTATTGACTAGTAAAAAACTAGTAAAAGGTATTTTTTCAGGACATTGAACCTTATTAGCCTTAATTAAATTTTTATTGAATTGATATTCAATTATTTTTTGTGAAATTACTCCACTAGTTTGTTATAATTATTAATACAAAGATCGAACACTCAGAAAAAATTCCTTTGATCCGGTCGGATTCGAACCAATAAGTGTTTTTTCTGAGTGTTCGATCTTTGTATTAATAATTATAACTTATTAGCCTTTTTCTGATTTAGGTAAATTACGCTCAGCATTTACCGAACAGGGTGGTGGTACTAACTTTAAACATGTTTAAGGAGACTTTGATCATTCTTTCCCTGGTCTCTTCAAGTATATTCTTCTTACCGTATGATAGCGTACCCTACAGTGCCTGCCATCGTAGA